GACTTGCGATCAGAGTCACGGAACGGATTAAGTTCGTAAGTAGAGGTACCACTGTACTGTGCTTTATTTTAATTTCCTATTTGGTTTCACAAACAAGCCTGATTTCCACATCAGTAAGGACATGTATAAATGTGCTACACTGAGTCCCAATAAGGTTCGATACTATAAGATTACAATATTAAAAGGATCTAAATCCTGAACTACAAGTTCTAGATGCCAATGAAAAACTGGTAGCACCGCAGAGCACAACAGCAGCACTCGAGTCCTGAAATTTCCTAGAGGTCTCCTATTCAAGTACTAAGTAGGTATGAGTCAAAGAAATACTTAACTTATTTCATCCTGGAATGAAGAGAAGGCTATATAAAGGAAACTGGCCAAGAAATATGTAATAAAACAATAAACATTACAATAAAAATGGGAAAATACAATAAATTCCCAAATGACACACACAGAATAATGATGTTGCACAACGTCACTGAAAAGGCAAGCTAGATAAATTCATATTCACATGTGATGCAAACTGTTTCCAAAATGTTGGTGAGAACTGAGCATGCTCAGTTGGGAAATATTCTCTGACAGTTGGGAAGGAACCAAAACCAGAGGAGAAATTGAGTGAAGCAATCTGGAGGCTCACTGCACACCACACTTGTCTATGCTCAATTATCAACATTTTAATTTAAAAAAATCAAAGTAGCTCTTACTTTTTCTAGCTTAACTTATGCTGCTAAGGAGGCTCCCAACACTAAATTATTTATTGTTTTGGAAATTCTGAAAATAATTTATTCCTATTGTAAGTAGCAAATGTGAGAGATTATGTGGAAAGTGAAATGAACATAATAAAAGTGTTTACTCTGGCCATAAATTGGTTTATAGTGCAACCAATTTACACTATCCTTTCCAACTTTGTACACATAAATACATTTATATTAAATAATAGAGGAAATTTCTTCATTAGGGACAGGTCAGCTTTTGTGACAACCGACAACGAGCTGAATAATCAAAACTACCAAAACAGTAATAGAACATGGCACACACAGAACTGCTCCAGAAATGCTGCCGTACTAGTTTTGAAGGTAGGCAGACTGGTCTTATCTTGCGTCCTTGCCTAGAAATTCTTAGATATATAAGTAAACAGTAAAAAGCAGCACCCAAGTAAAACATATCTATCCAAAGGTATTGCTTTTCTGGAGAAAAAAATCCACCTACTGTTGCCTAAAGACAAGTGTGAATTAATTTTTATTAAGAAAATTCACTTATACATTGTTTTCAGCATTTCCTCAGAAGTTTTAAAAGAGAATAGCATGTTTATAAAAAACATGCCGTATCAATTCTTCTAAGTAGGCTATAGCACAATTCCACCACTCAGTGCTGTTTGGTTACAGTTTTCAGAAATGGATTTTAAAGTAGTACATACATACATCTTTGCAGTATTTATGATCAAAGACAAATTTGCAAAACACCAGTAAACTCTAACAAGGGTTCGTCCCATCCAAGGTATGTTGAATAAGCTGTTGTCATATTTTCAGAGCAGCCATGCAGAAGTTTGCTGCCTTAAGAATTATACTTCACATCCAGAAGGAAAAAGATGATATAAAATTCATATAAATTCACTTGATCTGCCCAGGTAATCAGGCACTATAGGGCTGAATTTTAAAGGAGTGTTACTAAACACAGTCACACCCTCTGCTTAGGACTTTGTACTTTCTTTCACTTGTATCTACAGAAAGTATCTACATGATCACATTTGTACATAAACTTCAATATAATAAATTCTGTCCCAGAATTTTAAAGTGGCACTTTAGCATCCTAGATTTAGAGATAGATAGATAGATAGATAGATAGATAGATAGATAGATAGATAGATAGATAGATAGATAGTATATGTATAAGAAATTAAGGTGAGATATTAAGAAATTAAGGCAGTCATGAAGTAAAGACTCATTTCAAAGTAGTTTAACTCTAAAGCCCATTTGAAACAAGGAAGTGCCACCTCAGAAAATATAGCAGTTTATTGCCAAAAAGTAAAAATTTTTTGAAAAGTCCATATGAACACACCAGCAGGGAAAACATCTTCTTATTTACAGGCTGTGTCCCTGACTTCTTCTGGAGGTAGCCCCCAAGCAGCATTTTAAAAGGCAAAAAGAACTATTTTGTTTGCCTAACATTTATTTAAATATTTATTTATTTAACAAATTTATATGGCCGCCCAACTCACACAGTGACTCCAGGCAGCTTACAAAGTAAAATCCCCAATACAAAAAATCAACTCTCACCCTCAATGGCGGCCAAAAGCAATCAACACAACCACTTGATCGGCTCCATTTCAGCTTGGGGTCCCCAGGCCCACTGGCAAAACCATGTCTTCAGGGAACAACATCAAGGTAGGGGCCAATCTTATCTCAGAGGGGATAACATGTCATAGGGAGGGGGCCACCACAGAAAAGGACCTTCTTCGTGGTCCCATCAGATGTACTTCCCTCAACAATGGGACCCACAACATACCCAGTCTCCCTGCTATGGTGGGCCAGGTAGATGTAACTGGGGAAAGGCAGTCCTGCAAATAACCAGACCCCACGCCATGTAGGGCTTTAAAGGTGATAACCAGCACCTTGAATTGGACCTGGAAGGAAATTGGCAACCAATGCAGCTCCCACAAGAGGTGACACATGCGCAAATCTGGACTTGCACAAAACTATGCAGGCCGCTGCATTTAGAACCAACTGAAGCTTCCGAATACTCTTCAAGGGCAGCCTATGTAGAGTGTGTTACAACAGTCCAAGTGGGAGGTGATTAGGGGTGGGTGACTGTGAGAAGGGCACGCTGATCCAGGAATGGGCACAACTGATGCATAACTCACAGTTCTGCAAAGGCCCTCCTGGCCACGACTGCCACCTGCTCCTTGAGCAGGAGTTGAGTCCAGAACCTGAGGGCACACCAGGTCTGTCCGGGGCAGTGCCACCCCATCCACACGGCATTCTAACACTTATAGTTGTGAGAATTTAAGATGATCAAGCAATATGTTAACTTTTTTGAAACATTACTGAAAATCTATGTCTTTACATGCTTGAAAAAAATTAGCAGGGCTCCACAAATATGTAACTGGCATACGACCCAGCTTCTATTTGTGCTTGTCATCTAGCACATGCAAACGGTTTCAGAGGGAGATGGGGTCATATCTAAATCTCATAAGATAACAACAGAAATCTTTCATTTCTTTTCTACTCATTGTCATTGTTCAGATGTTTTTGACTGCAGTGAACATAATTTCAGCAGAATCTCAGCATCTATTTCTTTGAGTTCCTGCCAAGTCTATCCACTATGTCTTCAGTCAGCCTCTTTTTTTATATTTGACTTTTTTTTGTTTTCAGGCATCAGGGTTTTCTCCAACAACTCTTGCCTTCATATTATGAATCCAAAATATAATTAGGCAGCAGTCTGGTTTTACTTCATCTGGAATGATTTGTTCTTCTTGCAGTCCAAGTTTCTCTCAGCAATTTTCTCCAACACCTCAATTCAAAGGCATCAATTTTTCTTCATTCAGCTTTTCTGATGATCCAGCCTTCACAGCCACATGTTACAATTTGGAAAACCATGGCCTTAACAATACTGTATGTACCTTTGCTGTCTGTGTAACATCTCTGCAATAATACTTTTAGATCTGTCTTCTTTTTTTCCCAAGTAGTAGACATTTTTTTATAGTATTTCATAGCTACAGTCATCATTCCTGAGCCTAGTAAGTAAAAATCTATTACTTATTAATTAATTCTCTGCCTCTAAGCATTGGGTTGGCATTGCCTGT